CAGCAACGTTAAGAGTATACACCTGATGATGGCCGATAGAGGCCGAAACATGTAGTGTGGAAGAGAACAAGATCAAAGACATATAATATATATTGTTTGCACTTGGGACGGAGTTTGTATCATTTAGAGTCTAGGTTATTATGAACTTAAGAAGCATAAGCCATTGTTAGATGAAGGATGCTCAGAATTACTATACCAAAGAGAACAAGCCAAACTGCAATGGTTACAGGATCCAAGCAAAATAAATGGGGATAATCTGAACAATATAAGACGTGAAACCAGCAGGCATTTCAGGAATGAAAAGAGGGAATATCTGAAAGCCAAAATTGATGAGCTTGCTATGAACAGTAAGAACAAGAACATAGAGACCTGTATAGAGGAATAAATGACTTTAATAGGGGTTACCAACCTAGAAGTAACTTAATGAAGGATGAGGATGGTGATCTGCTTGCACATTCCCACAACATTTTGAATAGGTTGAAGAACTACTTCTCTCACTTATTGAATGTACATAGGGTCAGTGATGTTAGGCAGATAGAAATTCACACAGCTGAGCAATTACTACCTGATCATAGCACTTTTGAGGTTGAATGTGCTATTGCAAAATTGAAAAGGTATATATCGCCAGGTAGTGATCAAATTCCGGCAGAACTTTAAGCAGGAGGCTAACTATTACATTCTAAGGTCTTTCAACTAATTACTTATATTTGGTATAAAGAAAAATTGCAGATCAATTGCAGGAGTCTATTATTGTACCAGTTCACAAGAAGGGTGATAAAACCGACTGTAGTAATTATCATGGGATATCAACTTCATACAATATTTTATCCAATATTCTTCTCTCAAGGTTAAGTCCATAAGTAGATGAAATTATTGGGGATGATCAGTGTGGATTTTGACGTAACAGATCAACTACAGATCAGATCTTTTGCATTTGTCAGATATTGAAGAAAAACTGGGAGTACAATAGGACAGTACATCAGCTATTCATAGACTTCAAGAAAGCCTATGATTCAGTTAGGAGGGAAGTATTGTACAATATTCAGATATAGTTTGGGATACCCATGAAACTAGTTAAGCTGATTAAAATGTGTTTAAACGAAACTTATAGTAAAGTCTGTTTAGGTAAACATTTGTCTGATAAATTTCCTATCCAGAATGGTCTAAGACAAGGAGATGCCTTATTGCCACTCCTTTTCAACTTTCCTTTATAATATGCCATTTGGAAGGTCCAAGAAAACCAGGTGGGACTGAAATTAAATGGGGCACATCAACTGTTGGTCTACGCCGATGACGTGAATCTACTGGGTGATAATGTAGATACCATAAGAAAAACACACATAGAATGAGGGTGTTTGAGAACAGGGTTTGAGGAGAATATTTGGACTGAAGAGGGATGAAGTGACAGGAGGCTTGAGAAAACTTCATAATGAGGAGTTTCATAACTTGTGGTCTTCTCCAAGTATAATTAGAATGATCAAGTCAATGAGGATGAGGTGGGCAGGGCATGTATAGCATGAATGGGTGAGAAAAGGAATGCATATAGGATATTGGTGGGAAAGCCAGAAGGAAGGATACCACCAGAAAGACCAAGACGTAAGTGGGTGGACAATATTAAAATGGATCTTAGAGAGACAGGATGGGATGGTACGGATTGGATTGATCTGTCTCAGGTTAGGGACCAGTGGACGGCTCTTGTGAACACGGTAACGAACTTTCAGGTTCCCTAAAATGCTGGAAAATTTTTGAGCAGCTGCAGATTTGGCTTCTCCTCAAGAAGGGCTCAGCTCCATAAGTAAGTAAGGTAGCACTATTTACTGAACACCATCACCTAAAAGGGCACCTTTTCAAACTGGGATTAACAGATGACCCCATTTGCAAAAGGTGGCCAGGGCAATGATGTAACCGGAAGGATTAGGTAAATTGAAAAAATCCAGTGACCTCATCAGGAACTAACCCCACAATCTTCCGGCTTGCAGCATGGTGCCTCAACCACCTATGCTACCCCATGTCCATCTTTTTATTAGACATGATTCGCTATGGGAAACGTGTGTAAATATGTGAGTTCTTCTGTGGGCAAAGAAGATGTATGTAACTTGCCATCAATCTCATGTAAAATATTTCAGTTACAAGTAATCTCCTCTCATCACCCTTCATTGTGGCTCATGCTCTGATCAAGCAAAATGACGTGTGTGAGGCATATACCTCAAATAGGAAGGACATGAAGTGCATACATAATCTTGGTCAAAAAATGTGAATGTAAGAGACCAATTGGGAGACCTAGGTGCATAAGGGATGATAATATAAGGGTTGGAACTTTAATAGTGGCAACTATTTATTTACAACTGATACAAAATAGATGCATATTTCGAAGTTTTACTGTCCTTCAATGTAGTCACCAGCATTGCGTACAACCCGTTGCTAGTGATGTGGAAGTCGTAGGTTACCTTTAGCAGCGCCTGTTTTGTTGATAGCTCAAATGGAGTGGTCTACTGCCTGAAGAATCTCTGGAACAGTTCTGAAGCGAATGCCATGAAGTGGTTCCATCATCTTAGGAATCAAGCCGAAGTCACAAGGGCTTAAGAAGGGGGAGTATGGTGGATGGTACAGCACTTCCCAGCCCCATCAATCGAACAAATTAGCCACAGCTTGCACTGCATGCGGCCAAGCATTGTCCTGCAAAATGATGGGTGCGTTCTGCAGAAAGTGTCAACACTTCTTTCTCAAAGCTGGTCACAGGTTGTGTTCCAAAAATGAACAGTAATACTGCACATTGATGGTCGGGGAATGGTATGCGTTAGGATAACACCATCACAGTCATACATGAGAATCACCATAACTTTCACACTGCTGGGATTCTGACGAACTTTTGATTTTCGTGGTGACCCGTAATGACACCATTCGTTCGATTGGCATTTAATTTGTGGCTCGTACAATTTGGCTCCTGTCTCATCCAGCGTAATGATACAGTGTAAGAAAGCCTCTCCTTTGCGGTCATACTGCTCCAAGTGGTTACGAGCAGCGTCATATCGTAGCCATTTCTGCATTTCCATCAAATAATGCGGAACCCACCATGATGCAATTTTTTCTCATGCCCAGGCGTTCCTTCAGAATGTGAAGCACAGTCGTATGCGCTAATCCTGTCTCTCGGGCCAGCTCATGAATTGTATGGCATCAATCACTCTCCAGTAACACGGAAAGAGCATACACTTCTTCTTCCCTGACAGTGGCCGATGCATGTCTGCCACATTTTGGTGTCCCTTGTTGAAGGCTCTTACCCACCTTGCCACTGTTCTGTAAGGCAATGCAGATTCCCCGCAAGCCTCTTGAAGACCTTGATGGCACTGTCATGCTGTATGGCCTTTGGCACATTCAATTTTTATCCAGCTCCGTTGTTCCTGTTTCGAAAACATCGTGACAACACTACATTAGACCGCCAGCTAACACGAGGCTCTGTTCTTCTCGTCACTGCGCATGCACGTGATGTGGGAAGGGAGAGTCCATTTGCTCTGAAGTAAGGTAGGTATGAAACTAATGTGTGGTATAAGCCACATTATTTGGTTCCGTTGCACGGTGTCTCTACAGCAGTGTTGCCACTATTAAAGTTCCAACCTTCGTATTAATATGACTCCTAAGGAAAGCTGTGAGGGTGTGGAATGGATAAATTTGATCAGAACAGACTAGTAGTGGACTCTTATGAACATGGAAATGAACCTAAAAGTTCCATGAAAGGTGGGGAATTTGACTCAGTAAGCAAATTAGCTCCTCAAGAAGGTCTCTGCTCCATGGAGTCAGTCAGTGCTCAGCAAAAAATATTCTTCCCAATTATGTATGACAATTTACCGAGTTCAGCTAAGCTGAGTTCCTTCCAAGTCTTTCCACTAGGACATTTATCTGTAATTCCTTGGCGAATATATATCTTCCCTTTTGCTGTGAGAATCCAAGCAGTATCAGTGGCAGCAGCCACACACACAACTGGAGAGTCATCTGGCAGAAGTAGAGCCTGTCAACATTTACACAGGTAAATTAATATACTCTTATATAAATTTATGGAGGCACATGCAAAACATAAAATTCTGGAGTGCCAGATTCTTCAAATCAAAAGTGGAGAATTCATTGCCCCTTCATTGATGGAGACTGAAGAATTTTAAATGACTCCATTCCCTGGGGATGGAGGATATTTAAACCTCAAAGGCCTAATCTGCATACTTATGAAAAAGATCCAAAATTTGAAGTTGCAGTATTCTCTTCAAAGTTGATAAGAATATTTATGAAACTGTACTTCAAAATATATATGGAATTCAAATATATATTGAAGTCTGCAGTGTAATGGTGATCACCTTCTAGCAATTCAATTTATGGTGACAGACTCTAAAACAATAAAAATACAATCATACTAATATACTGTCACATGATACAGTAACTACAGATGGGGTTCAAATTGGTAATTGGATTTACTGAACACTTACAGATCATAATGACAAGTAATTATAGCGCTATCACTAATTCTCACACTCTGCAGTTCACTATAGCATGCATTAAGTCTTCTCAGTCTGCTGTGTCTTCACCTACCATTGCCTGGTAGCGGGCGTGCCTCTCACTCTGTGTTCCCAAGCGTTCTCGTGCCTCAGCTACCAGCTTCTAACAGCAAGAGCTCACAAGGACTGTACCGCAGCAGTCCTAACTCACTCACTGACTCACCAGCCAATTCCCTCCACTTCACTGCACTGCACTAACTCAATTTGGTTGGTTGATTGATATAGCCTCAGAACAGATCCATAGAAACCACTGTTTCCAACAGTACGTCCACTGTTGCACACAGGCCACTGCCTAGCAAAAGATGCAGTACTGATGCGTATTTATGAAGCTGTTGCATAGCAATGGCTGTTGTCTCATTATTTGTTTCATGGTTATTGCATAGCAACAGGCCTACATGCCACAATACTATGACTCTCCCTCTCCATGTTCTGTATACATGGAATTATCTTCTTGCGGCCTAGATATCTTCTCACGTGGTGATTCACTCCTGATGAAATGCATCTCAATAAGATGCAACACTGTATAGGAGTTGATCTGACACTATGCATCCAACAGTATACCCATATGAAACAAACAAACCTTCCACCAGCTCATTCCTTGTAGTATGTCTATAGTTAATCAGCTTATCCATGTGTTTGTGCTCTATCAGGTAAGTCACCAAGAGCTCATTTCTTCAAATCTAACACATAGGCAGGCTTGGTTTTGTCTTTTCCTCCGCTTTTCTTACTTTTTATTTCATCTGTGTGGTAGGTTCATATCCTGGTCATATTTCTTTATTGTTACATTATCACCTTTACAGATCTAGGATGCTACACTACAAGCTTACACATTTTAGCTTCTTATCTTTCATGGACTGGGAACATTTTTCTGTTCAGCTTAAAAGTACTAACAGACTGTTATATGAACAACTTTTAGTACTTTGTTATGACTGAAAAGTTACAGAACTATCACGTGTTAATGACTAGACAAGGGATTTTTTTACTGGCAACTGCATTTATTGAATGTTTATAAACTATGAATAATTATAACAGTCTCACTAATCTATGTATAAAACACCATTACCCTTCTTCGAATGCTCAGCCATCATCTTAAGAGACTTATGGAAAGCAACATCTAATTGCAGCCTAATACTGAAAGTCAGATATCTGATACACTGACAGTGACATACACCCTGATAACTATCTTAAAAACCTGATGCACTAAAAAACACCTACAAGCTTTCATTTTGGACAAAATATAGCCACTAGGTAGTCACAATATGGCTATTACACAGTGCCTCTAATGACATTACAGAATACTTCTTAGCTAGATAAAACCATGACATTTAAGAACAAGTACGAAAAGATAATCAAAATAAAATTAAGAGTTTCCTCTGCTGTAACAGGGTGAACCACTTAACATTACCACCTCGAATAACTCCTTCATTATCCAACGCATTGGGAAAAGCTTCAGACAGAATGCTTGTGGTTTCAAGGCTGACACATGGTGCATGAAACAGATTATTTGTATCTTTTGTTGTTTGCAAGATATCGTGGTAAATTTCACTTTTTTAAATGGAACTCGACTTTTTCACTCCAACAAAAATTGTACAGCAGATGAATATAAATCCAGTGACTGTAAATTAAGTTCCATTTTGATGAACTGATGTGTGATGTGGCGACTCAGAGTACAGGAGTGATCTGTGCTGCATGACTGAGCTTTCCCAAGCTTGCGAAGTGGTACATAGAGCTGTTCAACTCAAGCAGAAAGACATGCATATTTTCCACATGTATTCTTCTCAATTTTGTATACCCCATTCATATTGATGTTACCTTGCAGACACAAACTTATTACTGCAGAGCTAATCCTACAGCATAGAAATTACTTGCTCTTGTACTTTGTTAAATATTCACCACACTGAAAAATACTTAAAATAAACATCGTAAATCTTATGCAGTGTACCATATTTTGTGTGATGAGCCATTCTGGAGACAGACGCTATATATCGGTTTGAAGTTAGTGTAAAGTATGGGCTACTTATATTTTACAAATATGGACAAAAGTATGCTCAACAACTTTAACATACACAGCCACTAATAAATTGTAATAAAATATATTTACAGGTATGTCGTTTTGGAGTTGTTGTAGACAGATATGATCTTCCCATTAAACATTCGTTTTACGCATTCCATGCTTTATGAAGTCACGAGAAATCAGCAGGCTATCAATTTAAAATCTAATAAATATGAAGTGCATGAAACCACAGCAAATCACTGTCTGCTTACTGGTTACTAGAATCAGTCCTTATAGAGCTTATCTTTAAATCAGTAAAGTCCATATATCCATTACATTTCATCTGCTGGGAAATATCACAGTATATTAACATGAGATTCAAAACGTAATACCACTACTGTCTCACAAGAATTTCAACTATCGACCATTTTCATTTGATTGAGCTCGATCTTGTCTTATAGTTTAGATTACATTGAAGGTGCAGGTTTAAATTACTGCTGAACTGTGATCTTCTCTGATTTAGTGTGCATACCCTTTCTAAGATTATCCCGCTAGCAGTGCTGCACTTCAAATGATGCACAGTACTCGCTTAATGTGGCACTGTGACAATCATTATCTTGTAGTTTACTTAGTGTAGGAACTAAGCTAGGAACTTGTGATTTTATGCTCACTACAACTACCATCAAGCCATACTATTCATATACAACCTCTTTATTTGACCGTCACAACACAGCAAATATAGAACTTCAAGGACAATGCTCAGTATAGTTCTGCTACATGTTTCAGCCACAAGTGGCCATCATCAGGCAAACACACTTCAACAATCGTACACCACTGAACTGCGGTACATAAAATTTGATACAATGTTATAAATCGTTTAAGTTAATTTGCACAAGAATACAATAAGTAGGTTATTTAAAACAATAACAAGTCATATATAAAATTAAAATTTGATTGATGTTTAGTAACATTGAATCGGTCGTTGGTTTTACTTTTCATACATTTCTGTCGACGAATAGTAAATTCGAGTTTCTTATAAAATTGTGTAGGAGGTCCAATAATGTTGTGAATTAATTAATCTGAAAATAATATAAAAGAAATAGTATTAAGTTTGTTAAAATTGATATAATTTTATATTTAAACTGATGATGGCCACTTGTGGCCGAAACACGTAGCAGAACTATACTGAACATTTTCCGTGAAGTTCTATATTTGCTGTGTTGTGACGGTCAAATAAAGAGGTTGCATATATTGTAACATGGCAGGATGCATGAAATTAAAATCATACTATTCATCTTTACTTCTCCTGTACACAGCTATCAGCAAACTGACCCACATATACCTTAGTGGTAACTTTGTGAAAATGGATCCAATCAAGCTTCTAACACAGCCAAAACTCGTCAGCCTCTGTGAAATACATTATATGGATTGTGCAAGTCCTTCCAAGCCAAAAACTTCAATTCCCGTAAGTGAGGGTGAAAACCCTATCATTGTCGACATGTTGTCACATGTTAGTGACTAGATACTGGGTCTTGATGGGTAGCTGGATTTACTGAACACTTATAAATCATAACTACAAGTAATTATAATGCTTTCACTAATTCACACACTTGACTTCTCAATACAGCACACGCCAAGTCTTCTCAGCTTGTCACCACAAGTCGTTGATACATTTCGGCTCCAAAAAAGTGCATATTCCTCACCTTCCGTGTTCATGTCCTTTCCGCTGGCAACTGTCTCATAGATAATTCATTGCTCCAACTGTTGATGCTCAACTAATTTCAGTCAAACTGACAACTTTGAGCCATCACTGTCTGCTACTGGGTACTGGCCCTCACTATATAGCTTCAGGAAGGACCTTAGAGAAAAGCCTTTTCAACAATGTCTTTGATAGTTGTATGTGTAGCTGTTATCACTGAATCATGTTCATACAGAATCTATATAATCATGTTACAATATATTATTATGTAATGTCTATGTTATTTAAATTGACTATACTAATGTATGACAGTGTATATAATTAATATATTTACATGAACAGTTTGTAAATTGGAGCAAGAAGAAAAGAGATCTCCTGCTGTGGAAAGCAGCCAAAGTTGTCCTTTGTCTTCAAATATTCCTTCTGCACTGACTTTCTGCCACTTCAAGGATGCCCTGCGATGTTCCAGAGGCACTTTACTCCACTGATGGCCTACTAACACAACACAAATATAAAAATTTGTATTAGCCTAAAGGAAAACCTGGGATAATAAAAGGAGTGAGATAGTGTACTCAAGTTTGGAATGCACACATATCCCAAATGTGTTCTTTGCAATTTTGTATCTCTCACTGATTTCAGTGTTCACTTACAGCACAGACAAACCTGTTACTGACAGACATAACCGACAGTAATAATGCACTGCAGATACAGACATGACTTTACTCTTAAGGTCTTGCAACATTCATTTGAAGCATTTTTCAAAATGGCATATATTTAAAAAAATAGTCATGACCATGCCTACAGTGCAATATTACCATTAAATAACTGTCATACTTCGTGTCATACACCCAATTTTGATAGGATAAACAATTTCTGATAAATCTCATACACTTTGATTTAAGCTTCATGTAGAGGAGGGGTTGGTTATATTGAGCTAACATGGACTGAAATTAATTCCCTGCACATAGCTGAAGACCTCCAAACCAACACACAAGTTCACCACACTTCAGTCTTCACTCGCCTTACATGTTTCGATTCAATAGAATCATCTTCAGAGGCGTACCACTACTAGCAGGAAACACTGTCACATAAGATTTGACGTTATGCACTGAGGTTATAAATAGTGCTCACTGTATCACAATTTGCCCTTTGCATTCACGTTGACGTGTAGATTTACGTAAGATGTTGTTTTGTTTAGGTGTATTTTTTGGGTATTCGATCGGAATTTCCCACTGCATGCAATGTGATGTTTACTTTTCTTAAAGTAGCTACCTTATGAATTTAAAATTGTGTTAAAATGCTTTTGTGTTTAAAAAGTTAGTTATTATGTTAAAAATCGTGAACCAACATTGGGTCATGTTGTTGTTTCTCCTGACAGTAGAAGATGTCGATATTTCTCTGTGTTGTGTGTTCTTATTGTTAGTTGTGTAGTTTACGTGCGTGCTGTGTCTAGAGGTAACGTTCTCACCTCATGACTCATGGTACGCGGGTTCAAACCCGGCAGAGGTCATGGAATTTTTAAGGGCGGAAAAATTCAGGGAACAAGTCCTCCGGGAGGGACTTTAAGCCGTGGGTCCCATGTCGTAGCTTTACGGCACGTAAAAGAACCTCATATCTCCAAAGGAGGTCACTGAGCCAAATTCAAGGACNTATTCGTATTGAGAGGGGGTGGGTTTCCCCATGCACTTAGACCAGTTATTGGTCCATTGTGCGTCCCCCTTTTAATTTCTACTGTCGCCATACCCTACCGGTAACGGTGCATGCCATCAGCTCCTGTAGAGCCAACGAGGTCGGCCCCTGGTACCTTGATGCTTCCCCCATCCACCAGAGGCACTGGAGACTACTTGGGCGGAAAAGGGCCTGTAATTTAACTCAGAGGTCTCCTAGAGACATGAGGTTCTTTTATGTGCCGTAAATCTAGGACATGGGACACACGGCTTAAAGTCCCTCCTGGAGGACTTGTTCCCTGAATTTTTCCGCCCTTAAAAATTCCACGACCTCCACCGGGTTTGAACCCGCGTACCTTGAGTCATGAGGTGGGAATGTTACCCCTAGACTACGGAGGCCGCTAAGGCTGACAACCTTAGTGCCATCTGTGAGCTGACTGTCTAGAGAAAATGTGAGATTCTCCACGTCTCACAACCCTATGGGCCTTCACAGCCTGTTACAGGTATAGCTTTACCTTACCTTACCTACCATCCAATAACAACTTTAAACAACATGCTTCACCATCGATTCTCTGGAAATTCCTTCAATAAGAATAGACTACAAAAATGTGTTCTTCAATTACAAGGAAAATATGAACATTTCACCAAAAACCCATGTGATTATCTTCTTACTACATGACAACAAACTAGTTGGACGTTCATTCCTTTCAAGACATTACACACATAGAGAATACTGTGGTTAACCAAACTTCTTTTTATTTATTTATGGATTATTTAACAATGCTGACAGTAGCTCAGACCATACAGCACTGAATAATTAGATGACAGTAAATAATGAACAGCAGAGCACATGGAAGAAAGTAGTCATGGCCAACTTGAAGGTACTATTCCAGTAAATCAATTTTATTATGAAATCTGTTCCAAGATAAACTGTATGATTATGGTAATTTATGGTCTCACCTCTGTGACTACTTTTACACTTCATTTCAAACTAAAAAGAAAAGATTCTTGCAAATGACTAACAGCAGATTCAAACCAAGTTTTACTCATACAACTCTAAGGAATGATGTTTCTATGGTGTATTACAGAATTAAGAAGAAAGAATAAATTTAGATTGTGGTCTTCTGAGTTATTAAGATGATGGCAGCAGGTTCCTCCAAAAAGGTTGGTAATGTGCTACAAGAATACCTGGCATCATAACCCAAAAGACAACAATATAAATCTTAACTGCAATGAAAACTTCAAATCTCAAGAAATGGCAAATACATCCAAAGGCCTCAACATCAGGCAAAATATGACAGAAACACAACAAGAAGAGTTGTTCAAATTAAAAATACAGTGGTATGGGCATGTTGATGACAATTTGTGAGACCAAAAACTAGGTAGGAAAGCTCAAGTAAGGAATGATAAAATAAGTGAAAGAATGGACACAGATACAACAGAAGTAATTATGGCCAGCAAAAGCTGAGAGGACTTTGTCACAGACTGACCAATTCTGCTGAAAATTTCAATTGACAGCAATGCCATTCACTATGAAAAGTATGGAAACAGACATTTTCATTTACATAAGTTTCTTCCAAAACAACAAATATGACAAAGGTCATTATTTACAGCTTAAAACAAGTAACAAATTTGAATAAACACTGAAAAAATTATCACTGCACTTCCTGACACTGTTAAGATATAAAAAATGTCTGACCTGTGAACTGAGTCTTGTTCACGTGTATACTAGTTGTGGTTTTGTTTCCTACCCACACTGTGTCCTCTCCTGCAGCAATCATAACAGAAGCTTGCTGACGAATGTAAAGATTCTCTGTGAGTTTCAGCTTGTTGCAAATGTGCTGCAAGGATGTTGTTCGTTGGAAAATGTATCCAGTGATCAGTACCTGTAGAAGGGGTATACAGTTACATATGCAAATATTATGTTTCCGGACATTATCCAACATCCTGTTTTATCTAGCTCTAACAATTGGGCCCAATTGCACAGATTTTACCTGAAGATGGAGAGAGAATCAAGTCTCTGAAATTCTGCATTTTTAAATAAAAACAGAACCTTGTTTTAGATAAGAACAGGACAATGGATAATGTCCAGAAACATAATACTTGTTTAATGTACCATCGCCACAAACATTTAGATCTTATGTTACACATGGCTAAGTATACCTCAAGGCTGAGTACGGCATTAAAAAATGTAAAATATTATTTTCTCATTTTTCAGATACCGAGCTATTTCTTCTTCTCAGTTTAATTAAATTGCACATAGTGAATTTCTGCTTCATTAAAAATACTGACACACAGCAAATAATTTCTTTAATAAAATGTTAAAGGAAATTCACTAGTTGGAGTCCACCACCCTTGATTATATTTCAACTGTAAAACACATCACCATATTCTGGTGTAATTTCCATTTACTTCCATGAAGTACATTCCACGGCAGTTGAAAATTTATATCCAAATATGTAACTTAATTCCAAAAATTTCATCCAACCTTCAACTAGTAAACATAATGCTTAAATAAACAGTACTAAATTTTTAATCATATCATTGAGGATCCTGAACTTATAAGCTAAACGAAAGAAAAATAGCAATTATAGTTAAAACAGTTTCCACATTCAATATTTGCTGTGAATGTAGACTTCAAAACCAAAAAAATTCTTACAAAGAGAAAAAAACAGACATGATATCATTTGGAATATGGATTTTTTTCTTTGTAATAATAAAAGCATTAGTGTTTCACATCCCTTGTAATAGCTACTACAGACTTGCCATTTAATGCTTTTCTCTCACAGAATATATGCACCATCTCCATTACTTCAGTATGAAGTCCCCCCCACACATTATAGGCCTACATAGTTTGGTATTCAAATCCAATTACTGTTAGGATGATCAAAACAAGGATGCGATGGACAGAGCTTATAGCAGAATTGGAAGGTTGAGAATGCATATGAAAATTTAATCAAAAACCTACAAGAAAGAAATTGGTTGGGATACTCAGTCGTAGACAGGAAAATAATATCAAAATAGACCTCAAGCAAATAGAGTGTGAGGGTATGGACTGGATTCATCTGGCTCAGGACAGGGTCAATGATGGTCTCTTCTGAAGCAAAACATACATGACCAGCACCCAACTGAAACTAACCTGCCACCACTGGGAATCAGGTGCCATGAAATTGCAACAGAAGTAGATGGCACTCTTCTGATCCACTATCCATGCTGTACTGTGACAACCAAGTGCTATATCTGTTACAGCAGGACATGGGATATTGATCTTTTCCCACTTCTTCCCTTCTGGTTCTACATCAGACACCCCAGACCTGAAGAGGACCTCTCCTGTGGAGGTGAGAGCAATAACAGAATTCTGGAAAGAGCAGATGCGGGTTACAGGCTGGTTGCATTCCACAGACCTGGTTGGGCTGGGAGGCTGCTCTGAACTCAGCTGTTTGCGGACAGATATGTAACCATCTGACACAAACCATGTAATGATGTCTGAAACAGAAATCCACTGAATATTCCTTGCTATTTCTATCCACTTTCCCCCAAATGGTCCTTTTACTGAAGGATTTTCCAAATAATATGCTCTGTGCTTATACAGCTTCCACACCAAAGTTCCATTTGGTGAAATGGCTACTTGTTTTGCTTTATAATCCACATTTTGCCATTCCAAACTTAAACCATTCAATGAACTGTAATATACAGTATCTTTCGAATCAATACAGCACACATAATATTTACACAATGATAGATTCACAATGGTGCCTGGCACTTTATACTGCATCCACTGGTCAGCCCTCTCCACTGTTTTGTACATCCTGTGGTCACACCTCAACTCTGTTTTGGGGTCAGATGTGCTGAATATCTCGAGTGATGCATGATTACTGGGAGGAGCACTACTGCCAGAGGGTGGTCCATAACTGAGAATACTACTAAATGAGGCAAGTTTCTCATCTTGAGAGTCTGCAATGTTATCACTATGCTGTGAGACACAATCATCATTTCTTGATTCACTCTGGTATCCCCAGTCATCTCTCTCTTCATCACCAACTTTAGCATCATTGAATTCCTCAGAAAAAATGCAACTATGTGATGTTACATACTTCAATTTTGTCTTTTCAGCAATTACCTCTTGAGTTTCTATTTTATTTACATCACAAGTATGTTTGCCATTAAAATTCACTTCACTTTCAGAGTCACCATCGCATAAACTGTCCATATGGAGAACCTTTGCAAGAATTCTCTCTTTATGGGCAACATCCCTCTCAATAGAAGAAGGACTTCGTAGATCTGGTTGTATTTCTAGTGGCACTAAACACTCGTCACCTAAACAAAAACCACCAGGTCTCTTATTTTTACAAGACATTTGTGGAATATCAGTTTCACTTAAGGCAGAATTAATAATGGTTCCATCATGCTCACTGCCAGTGTCACCAGGAAGTGTTGCAATGTCACTGCTAATGCTATCACCTAATCTTATCAATGTTTCTTCTGAGGAAGACTTTGTGTTCAGCTGCACATTATTCGAGCTCTCACTTGGTTTCACTGCAATGATCAAATCATTGCTTATATCCAGTCTCTCACTGCTCCATGGATCTTCATCTGACGTTGAGCGAACACTACTGATGCTCACGGTGTCAGAACCTGACTCAGTTTCAGACACAAACATTTTTCCCTGTTTGGTCTTGCTAAGCTTCCTACTCTGCTTTGGTTTAAAAAGAACGTCTTCATAATGCTGTTCCCCAATTCTGTCAAGAATTTCTGTTCGTAAGTTTTCAGAAGACAGGGCAGAGCTTCTTCTGCTTCCTGCATTACTTTGCTGTGATATGCTGTAAACCTCCTTGAACTCGTTGCCGCTATCAGTTGTAGCACTTGGACAATTCACACCAGGACTGACTGCTTTTTCAACATATAAATCAATCTGAAATTTAAAAACAAACAATACATGATTCTTTCATGCATAATTTGACTGTTCTGATAACAAATTTAGGAAACTTAAAGTTAAGGTTAACAAAGAATTGTATTGCATATCAAACAAGGTAAAGAACAAAAATACACAAAGCTGATAAACATCCTATCACATGTAATATTTTGAACATTTTACTTACAAATATGAATAATTAAACACTAATAAAAGTATCAACATATGTGTCTTCCAAGCATGTTCAAAGTAACTTCCAAGTAAATACAAATATTTTAAAAAGTGAGAACATTATGGAAATACTAAAATCTCTGATCTCATTCTGCAATACACTTCAACAATACACACAACAAAGATTGTACTGATTTACAGAGATTGAAGATACTTAAAGGGACTGAAGGTTTGATGAGAACTATGTGCAATGAAATCTTCTCAGGCAATACACCATGTGAAAATGGAATTGACATTCAAGGTTTGGAGACAGCTTCTGCCTCCATCACCAGGGGTTCATGTGATGAGTGACAGAACTGTCTGCTGTATTTACACACACTGTTGCTCTTGAAGCCTGTCATTATCCAAGCACAGACCAGTAGGGCAAGAGTGAGTGGAGTCAAGCAGTCACCACAACCATAATATTGTCACGTACCCAGGTAACATGACAAGAAATTAGTGGGTTCCCAATTAGACAGAGCTGTTTATTGGATAACTCGTTTACAATCACAATTACAGTCACTCTGAAATAACATCTTCCAGACGATGCAACTGGACTAGTCCATCGCCTCTCACGTTTCGTCTTCTGGTTCTTGGCTGAGCTGGTTTCTTCTGTTCCCAGCTCTGCTCCATTTGCCTCTGATCTGGTCTCCACTGTGTACTCCTCTGATCTGACCTGTTCTCAATTTTCCTCTGGTCTGACTTCTGCCACGGTCTCCTCTTATCTGGCCTGTTCTCAATTCTTGTCTGCTCTGACCTGTTCTCAGTTTTCTTCTGGTCTGACCTCTGCTCTGGTCTCCTCTGATCTGTGTGTGTTCTTCCATTTGGCTTCTTATCCTCTACAGCCAGATGAACTACAAGACACCTTCTTGAAGGGTTTCATTTTCTGGGTTAGCTACTGTATCTGTAGCTGGTCTATTCACTGCTGCAGGAACATGTTCCCATTTTTAGGTAACATGTTGATTTTATCTCTCATGTATTGGTTGTTGCGGAAACAACAAACACTTATTGGGCCATTGTCTCTGTTTTTAACAACCCATTGTCTAGCAATGGATGCCCCCTCTGACTCAAGGTATTCAGGCTTTTAGGCGACATTCCACATTATGTTCCTTAATCTAGACAATCTTCTGTCACTAAGCAGTCCATGCAGCCTATTGGTCCAGCCCATACTACAGTGGCCATTCAGGCCAATGAGATCTGGCTACATCCTAGTAACTTCAACAAAGATACAGAGTTCACTTAAAGTTGGTCCTGGTACCCATCTACCAACATATGCCACTCAAGCAGGAGTGGAGTAAAACAGTGGAAGAAAAGAGCAATGACAGCCAGTGAAACTGCTTACTGTTCCCATAAAGGTCTACACTTTGACAAAGAGACCAGGTTCCAAAAGCAACTACATATATATACAAATTTGATGGGTAACGGTGTCTTTCATCACGTCAAACTCGGATGATGGAGGCAGAGGTGGTTTTCAAAACACCGGAAACCAACTTCATTTTCATACAGCTGATAGCTATGAGGATTTCACTGCACTTAGGACATTTATTTATTTTTACCTCTTTATATGCTTACTTATTTGCTTTATTTATTTATTTATTCTTTAATTTACTTACTTGGTCATTCATTCATGTATTAATTTCATTAATATATTCTTTTATTTATTAGGGGTTATGTCTGATGAATGCCATGAACAGCGCTCTCAGCTAAATAAATTAAACTAAACTAAACTAAACTAAACCAAATCAAATTGAACCAAATATATTTACTCATTCATGAACTGATTTACATTTTCTAAAAATTAAGTCCTGTATATATAACCTACAATGCAATGAAATTAATTTTATTTAGAAGCTGATATCAGTGTTCACAACAGATCTGAAAATTCAATGTACCAAACTGTGCTACAAGAACTTCATTTATAGGAAGAATTAAGAGATTCATGTGCAGCTGTTCTATCATTGCATTATGCATAAAGTGCTTTATAATAAATACATCTTACCATATTGCCATTAGAAATACAAGTGACAACTTGAAAGGCAAATTCCTAAATATAAAAATGTTCACAGTGTAATCTAAATGCACACTTTTAGTTTGAAGGCAATACTATAGTATGGACAGGTATACTAAAAGAGAATCACTTTGCACTTTTCTGGTTTATGTCACTGTGTAGTTTCATATGTGGTTACCAACATTTTTGAGGAATCTGCTGCATCCACCTTTACATCTACCCTGAACATGGAGGCAGCATATTCCACCAAAACTCTACCTCTTCACTTCATGATATAAGGTGTCTGCAGATTTGCCTTGCACATGGGTATTCTTGGTGCTAAGCTAAAATGTAAATTTAAGAAATTCATTTGGCTCAGAGATGTAGGGTTGCCATCAGGGGACACAGGTGTGAATGCAGTAAAAATGCAGTGTGGGACATAAAGTAAAAAGTAAAGCTATCCCTGTAACAGCCCATGAAGGCCCATAGGGCTGTGAGACGTTGAGGATCCCACATTATCTAGACAATTGGCTCAAAGATGGCGGTAAGATTGTCAGCCTTACACGCTGGCCGCACTTTACTCCCCAGGAAAATTATTTAATTAATTCCTGGTACTCATTTCTGTTAGAGGCTGAGTCAACCCCAGGGCCATAGCGGAGCTGGAAGGATTAGGTCAACTGAAAAAAATTCAATTACCACATCAGGACTTGAACCCACGACCTTCTGGTTTGTAGCATAGTGCCTTACACCAGGTTATAATTACATAATAAACATGCCATGGGTTTTCACTTTTACTATATCAAGTTCAGCAACTCACTGTTAATTATAATTACAGTTATTTGTGCTGCAGAACCTTAGCATGAAAACAAGTATCTGAACAGCATGACATCAAACTGGATTACTACTGTCAGGTGTAGGGGTTTGAGTGTGACTTATAAGATGGTTTCTGGAATGGTTGACTGGTTGACTGGATTTACTGACACTTTATACACAGTACTCAGGACTACATGCAATAAAGCACTACCACTATTTCCACACACCTTACACTTCACCATTACACACGCACTAGGGTTCCCAGTCTTCACTAGTCATATCCTGGCAACAGATTTACAACACTCTCACTGTTCGCTTCAAATCACACATGAAGTCTTATTTTCAGAGTCTAATTCCTTTCTTTCCATTTCTTCTCAATCACCTTAAATTGCCATCTCCAGAACTCTACCCAAATCTTGAAAAAACTCTTCTTCAACTGAACTCTCTCAACATGTTACATCTAACTGCTCCCTTGGAACTTCCCATTATATAACCTTGGGGCAGACCCCATGGAAAACGCCATCTTCTGTTGTTCTGTATTGTTTTAGTTGTGTTTATTGATACGCTGCCTAGCAACAGACATCATATTGTTTCCCACGTCGATTCTGGTGGGAATGTGTTTGCTGAGTTTTGCCTAGCAATGGATACATGTCACACTATATATGTCCATTTCTTTATACAGAAATAATGCTGTTTTTTTTCAAATATAAATCACACTTTACTTTGTATATATATAATATTTACATAATTTAGATTTGAATTTAAAAGAATCTCCTAGCCATAAGTTATACAGACAAAGCAGTTTCCAGTATTGGGAAAGAGAATGGGCTTCTTCTTCTTCTTCTATGGCGCAACAGCCCGATGTAAGGCCTTGGCCTTCCTTATCAAGCCCTCCATTCCTCTCTGTCCTGCGCTGCTCTCTTCCAGTTCCTTACACCCATTAACTTCTTCGCATCTTCTTCCACCACATCAATCCATCTAGTTCTTGGTTTCCCAGCACATCTCCTACCACCTATTGTACTATATAATATTTTCTCTGGGATATGCTCCTTATCCATTTTCTGTACATGCCCAGCCCATTGAGAGAATGGGCTACAGTCTCAAAAAATTTAGTGGTGATCAAAATTCTCAGTGATATGTCTAGGACCTGTCAAGAAGCCAGGAAAGCAAGCACACTGTAGGAATATGTGATCACAGCTTTCTCCAAAAAGTGAAGTGGTTACTATTCAATGAACACCTATGCTCATGGTAACCTTAGGAATTTCACACATAAAAATAAAGAAAGAAAAAAAATATATATATATATATATATTGTAACATGTTTGGAGTAGATACTTCCATGGCAATGCAATAACAGTGGGCCACTGAGTAGACAATGCCGAAACAACAAACGCGTTTGCCTGGAAATGAACAACAGAAGGCCGTTGAGTACCAACGGATGAGACGAAACACGTTACCGCTGTAATCTGTAGAGATCGTTCCCGAAGCAACTGATTGCTGAACAAGTGAGACTGAACCTTGGCAAATGGTGTCTCGTATCTGGTCCACAGAACACCTATATAAGTCGAGAGCGACAGAGCTACAGGATGACAGTCGAGATCTAGCCTTCATACAAGACAGTTGGAACCTAGTCGAGACATCGCAGAAGCCACGTGATACCACAAGCGATAATACTTGTATGGTGTATAAGTGTGAGTGTCCAATAAAGATTCGCTGAATCTCAGACCCACGTGAATTTATTTGTCGCGTGACACACCCAACACGTGACAATATATTACCATGTAATTTTGTAGGTGGTTATGTAGCTGGGCATGTCCTTCAGTCATACCCAGTCTTGCTGCCCATGGATAAGAAATGACCCAAGGACATGCCCAGCTACATAACCACCTACAAAATTACAGGGTGTCATAACCCAGAAAGCCACAATTTTAATTTTCACTACTGTGAAAATTTGAAATCTCATCTCAGAGTTGTCAAATCAGAATTACTGGGATTCTGGACTTTTTCCATCATCCGGAATTCTAGGTAATAGGTGATTGAGATTAGCTCTTTCTAAGGGACCCAACTGAGCAGGTGTCTTCCTATCTCAGCTGAAGATGGAAACAGATCCAGTTTCCGAAACATTATGTCCTCTATTACCTAGAATTCTGGACGATGGAAAAAGTCCAAAACCCCAGTAATTCTGTGTGTCATCCACAAGTCAGGACCCTTTAGAATCTAGAGATGTCTAATAAATATTTATCAAATGTTTTGACCTTTCTCTGAAGTCATGGAGAAGACCACAACACCTAAGATTTTCTTCTAGAAGAGTGCTATCCAAAGATAAGACATAACATTCCTCTAGTTTTAGTACAAGATTACCTCACATCATTTACTGAAGAACACTGTTCATGTACATACCAAATTCTCATGTGGTAGTGCTATTACAGGAGGCAGCTCTGTTGCCTCATCTGCTGTCATCACTGGGTCCCATCCCTCAAATGCTGACTCACTATTTATGCCTTTATATTTGGACCCAGGGCTACCAAATATACTGATTCTTGTACTAATTTTAGGTATTGGGATGGCAGAAACAATTGCACTGTCTTTTAGTTTTGATGTAAGATCCATGATGGATGAAGCAACTGTGATGTCTGACAGTGAAACAGGCAAGATGTTCTCTGTTCGATAATCAAATTTTGTTCCTGCAATAGAAATATGTAATTAATGGTAGCTCACCTTTAGCCACAAATAACTGTATTTTAACACCGCATTTCCTAAGCTGGCATTTCTTAATGTTTTCCATGTGGTGATATTAAAATATAGTTCAATATCCCATAGAACAAAATGTCCACATTCACAGGCTATTTCATATTATTCTATCTCATTCATTACGCTTTATATTTATGCAATTTGTTGTAATAAGTAATAGCATTCATAGAACTCACAAGAGATCAACATTTTATAAAGCAAAAAAAAAATGAACTAAAATAGTTATGCTTAAAAAGAGCAGCATGTACAGAAAAATACAAAGAAATAAGAATAATACTGAGGCAGTGCAGCAACAACTTGTACTCTCTAAGCAGCTGATATTCAGTTGTTCCAGAACACACCCTGCTCAAAATTCTGAGGTGGCAATAACTTACACTTCTCTAAGCCTTGAGTTCAAGAACAAACCCAGCTCTCGCAGAACCTGTCTATTACTGTGATTATGAGCCAGTTTAATCCAGTTCCAATTATCACAACTTATTACTCTAGTGTATATTTATAGTTTCCTTTTGTTAAACTTAGTGAATTGGTCTATGTAAGAATTTTCATGGTTGTTTCATAAAACTGAATAGCATGAAACCTTTGTTCCCAAGAAGTAAAACGTGTCAAAGGTGGCTGTATTATTTCTTAAAATGATGAATTATATGCAACAGTAAACTATCCTCTGTACCTCAGCCAAATCAGGTCATGGCAGACCCAGGAGAACCTGCCTCATGGCACAGTCTATCACATTGTATCTCTCTAGCAGCCTCTTCCCATCACATTCCCACATGTTCAACTTTCTTGATGTAACTGCCTGGATAATACCAGGTACGGCAGTAACTAACACCTCCACTTAGTGAGCTTCCTGACCACTTCACATCTCAGCAAGATGACGGGTCCATCTGAGGTGTGGACACCCATAAGGCAAACTCCAATAACACCAATGTTAGGATGATAATGATGATAGCCAGCAGAAAGGATTTGTATTGTATTGGAGGAGGGGTTGGGTTTCCCCATGCACTTAGACCAGATATTGGTCCACTGTGTGTACCCCTTTGATTTCTGCCAGCCTCTATACCCTACCGGTACTGGTGCGTGCCATCAGTCCCAACTCAGCCAGAGAGTTCAGCCTCTACTGGCTCAGCGGTATCTCTCGATGCTTCCCCCATCTACCAGAGGCGTTAGAGACTACTGTTGGGCAGGAAACGTCCGATCAATTTGGCTCAGTGGTCCCCTTGGGACATGAGGTTCTTTTACGTGCCGTAAAGCTACGACACGGGACCCACGGCTTAAAGTCCCTCCTGGAGGACTTGTTCCCTGAATTTTTCCACCCTTAAAAATTTCACGACCTCCGCCGGGTTTGAACCCGCGTACCTTGAGTCATGAGGTGGGAACATTACCCCTAGACTACGGAGGCTGCTCAGCAGAAAGGATGCAGCTTCACAAGGCTTTTGCATCATGGTGGAAGCCTGGTATTTCTCATATACATGAAGTTTTACATTTATGGAATAATCTTCATTGGATCAAGTTGTTCATGAATCCAAGCGCCAAAGAACAGAAGTCCAATGTCTTGTTCCTAGACCACAAACCCCTACCCTTATGAAGCTTCCAACTCATAAACTAAATATTTATGAATATGATTCACACTGTATGCAAGCATGTCATTTATGGTCAGAAGCACACAGACAGATCCAACACTTCATTATGAATTAGTGAATTTGCTTTGGATGTCTTCCCTGCCTAGATAAAAAATTTATACATTTCAGACAATGGCTCTTTCTCTGTCTTCATGAAAAAGAAAAGATTATACACCCTGTGAGGCATTTTTGATAGATCGACTCCATATCACTGGGCACTGAAGATTCCATACACATGAGAGGGATGCAGTTCTCAGTAAGGTAAAGCAGCAAGAAATTAACCATGGAATGTAGTAAGTTACAAGAAAGTAAAAAAAAGCATGAATGCAAAATCTGGAAAACTGCCTTATAGTGATGTTATATACAGTGTACTGGAAAAGGAATGTGACATGCACAACTTATGAACCCATAAGTGGCAGACTGAGACATAAAAATGAAGTTTCCTTTCTCATACACTTGATTACAAAAATCAGAAACAATAACTCTAATAGTATTAAAATTCTAAAAAATAGCTTGTGAAAGACCTTATTTATAACTGAACAGTAAGCAAAATTTGAACCTGGTAATATTCATAAAATTTCAGAAGGTAATTTTTTGCATGCATTACCTTCAGTAGGAAGCCTGGTCAAAATCAGACCAGTTGCTTCCAATCTATTTTATGCATCAGAAGTTATGACACCTGCTGAGACAGTGTAGGGATATAAAAGTTACAAATTTGAAGTTTCCAAAATAAAGTCATAACTGCCATTGATAGTTATTGACTTACCTAGCAAGAAATGTGTTTCATCTAGTTTTTGCTTATCAAAATATGAACCTGAGATAAGATAGCTCAATTGATTTAACATTCATGAATTTTTCAGATGAAGTGCTTATACATAAAAAATAAAATAAAAAGGAGCAGAATAATCGTCAATAAACTAGGATAGCTCAGCTAATGGAGTGGCAGGAGCAGAGAATTTTCTGTTGTGTGCAAACTAACTCTGGGACCATTCAGCACTCTATTCAGTGGATACCAGACTCTCTAGAAGAGTGAAAAGTGTAATGCTGACAACACCTCGTTCTAGTTTGAATGATTCCCTGTATGATGATGATATTATGTTGGCCAATGTATATCAAACATACCTGAAATCACACAGTGTCAAGCATAATATTTGTACTATGAAATAACCATTATCCCTAACCTTCAAAGAATGACATCCTTATGTTATTAATTCTGTTTCAGCAATGCCATAGCATATTTAAAGGCATTATCCTAGAATCTGACTGAAGAAGCAGGAAAATCACAAAATCTTAGCATAACAAGCAACCAGGCTGATACTCAAGCTGGATATCTTCTGAACAAAAGCAGTACAAGTAGTAGAGCTACACCAGCCTGTTTGGTACCTCCATCTAGTGTCAAGGTACAGGATGTGTGGAGTTCTATCTCCATATCTCCAGCAGGGTATGAACAATGCTTGGAACTAAAGGAGATGAGGTGAGCAGGGAATTCAGGATATTAATATGACAACAGAACTTTCTGATTTATACAGTTCACCTAATGTTGTTAGAGTAGTGAAAGGAGAGTTTATGATGGACTGATTATGTAACTTGCATACTAAAACTATGAATCATATATAGCTCTAGATGATTTAGGGGATGGTTCATGATTGTCTGAAGAATGACCCTGTTAACAGCAGTGTTGAATCTTAGGCTCTATTACATTAAGTGCAGCAGCCAGTGTTAACCCAGTGACATGTTTTGACACCTGCAGGATCTCCATTCACTGACAGGTTTTGAACATCAATGACTGAAAACTTAAAATACAGTAATTTACTTACTGGCCAACAGATGTCATACACCTACAAGAAAGTTCTGTCAATTAATGTTACACATATCTTGACTATGGAAAATTGAATATGTTATAAGGAATTACCATGTTCAATTTGAGGTTCTCAAGGCACTGACTATAAAGAGTACAGTCTCCTGGATTGTATCACCCTGTACTTTGGACAGAGCCCAATGCTTTGGAGGAATATATCTTTCTGAACAAGCTGTTACAATCCAAAATACCATACTCTTCAGGTTATAATGGACTCTGGCCTTCAATAGCTTCAACTGAGTCTCAAGAAACACAAATGGAATACAAATTTCATCACCACCATAATAATTCTTTTCAGTATTTGGGCTACTGAGACTTGGCGCTTATATTTTAAGACTGAGACCCTCTACCATTTCATAATCTTCTCAAATTTCCTTTTCTTTCAGCTTCTTTAGAATCTTTATGTTTTAAATGCTACCACAGGTCATCCTGTCAACATGTCCATTTCAATTCCTTCAATACTGTTATCTGGCAGAGTCATAAATCTGTATTCTTTTATGCCCAGAAACTGATGATGGTTTGAAGATCAGAGTTATAATTTCTAATACTCTGAGAAATTTGACAGTTTCTGCATTCACATTTATTTCTCGTTTACAGAATACATTATAATCCAAATAATCTGATCTGGCCTGTAGCATCTTGGAAAGAGTTGCCAAGCAGGCCATCGTGGACTGGACTAACAGAAAACACCTCATATAACGAATGTCCACACCTGGACTAAAACATGTGACAGATTTCCTTCAGGAATGCTCTGCTAATACAATTATGGCACTAATACAGCTGAACAGGAACCAGTAGACACATTTGACAGGACTCTTTACAGGATACTGTCACTTTAAGGTATATTTATTCAAACTGAAGCTGGTAACAGTCCCACATGTGAAAGGTTTTCATGACAAAGAAAGAACAGCCATAGATGTCTTACGTGTACGGGGGACCCAAAAATAACCGGAACCGACCTGTTGCGCGCATGCTTTGTAGTTACGAGTTGTGCTGCTAGGTGGTGTTAGCTGGGGGTCTCCCGCGACTGTTAGTGAGCTGGCATCAGTCTGAGTTAAGTGGTTTGTCTGTGGTGCTCTGTTGTGTGCGTTCCTGTTTCAACCCTTTGGCGATTAGTGAGATG